AGAAAGAATAAACCAGTTTTTTTTTTAAGAAAGGACTTGTATCGCTAAAGTTCCTTCGGAAAGAAATCATACGGAAAATTAACTAACGACCAGAGACGTAACAATGTACTAATGAAGCATGAAGGTTTTCTTTTTATTATTACTATGTATTTCATTATCTATTCTGTTGAATTTTTCTTTGTTAAGAGAATATGTAATACTAGAATGTATTATATATTTTCTACCCCTTTAGTTTTCCAGGGAACTACTAACCAACATTATTTTGAAAATTTTACTTTTTTGGAACACGACAGCGATCAGGTGAGTTTGTTAAGCAGCAAACTAGGTTAAGTGAAGATTAAGGAGTTGATTAAAAATAACATTTTTATTCTTGTCGGCAAATCAGGTAATAGTTGCAAATCAACTCACCCTTGTTCTTCACTGCCTGTTGACCAGCTGATCTAACCAGCACCACTCACTGCTTTTTTTTTAAAGCATATTTTATTAACATATTTAAAGTAATGTTAAGACTTAGAAGAGCATATTTTGCAACTTTCATATGTGTTTTTATTTGGATAATTTATTCAGCAGTTTTGGGCTGATATTTTATTTTTTATTAACGTACTGAGAATTCTTAGAGTTGTGTGTTTCTGCAGGCTCATATCGTTTCTTTATTCTTATTTAAGGGGAACTCCCAATGTTCTCTTGCTATGTTAGGAATTTTTATTTGGTGCATGAAGTTTAGCATTATTTGTTTACTTTCATTTAGCTGGAGTGAGTGCCCTAAGGCTCTTTCCAGTGTTTCAGGGATGCTAATGTTTCTTCTATATAAACAAGTTTGTTTGTTTGTTTCATTTTAAGTCTGCATGAAGTTTAGCATTATTTGTTTACTTTCATTTAGCTGGAGTGAGTGCCCTAAGGCTCTTTCCAGTGTTTCAGGGATGCTAATGTTTCTTCTATATAAACAAGTTTGTTTGTTTGTTTCATTTTAAGTCGTGGAGCATTGACTCTGCCATCGTAAGAGCCATTTAAGTAAAACTATTTTGTTTATGAAATCCAAGTAAGTACCCGGATTTTACAATTTTAGAGTATTTACATAGATTAAATTGAGAGTATCTCAACTTAACTTGGGCTGTTTTTACTTAATGGTTTCATTTCATTCAATCTAACGTACATGGATCAAAAGTCATCATTAGCACTTGCTGGTCCTACATTTTCTACTTAAAGCCTTCAAAATACACAATCACTTGCCTAGTGTATTGTGTTGTTGTGCATTGTGTTTGTGAAGTATTGATTATTTATATTACTAACTGTAAGTCACTAAATATTTTTATTTGTATAAACCTGTGTTTTGTCACTTTGTGACTAAACTGTCACAAGTCGATGGAAAATATAGATCCAAGTCCGAGATCCAAGAACCTCCAGTTATTAACAGTCGTAACTTTTCTGTTTTGCTGGTCATACTCGAGATACCACAGGCTCATGATTTGTTGTAAGTTGTAGGTATATATATTTCTTCATTTAAAGGTTTGTTATCCATGTTATGTGTAAGTGTTTACAGGGGTAAGAGAAAGTTAAATCATTTCTTGACCAAGTTAACTGGTTTTAATTTGCGTGTGGTATGCAGGCATACCATACGTTTTTACCTTATTATTTTAATGTAGAAATTTATTTGTTTTCAATTGATGCAATTTTGACATAACACGTGACCCAGAAAGTCATTGATATGTTCTTGCTGTCTTTATATATTTTTTGTCCTCTGGAGATAATACTTATTCTGCTCATTGGAAGAAGGCATGCACAAGAATGTGAACGAAACAGTATCTTTCATTGGTAGGTCAGATGATGTCATGAGGTTACGGAATCCCATGGATTAAATGAGAATAACCAGTCACGTGTTTATCGCTAATCACTATGGGTAAATTTAAAGTATCTCGTTGATTTAAGAAACGTTAGATTTAAACAATTTGGAATAGATCTCCATTGAGTAAGCAGTACTTCACGGAATTTCAAGGGAGTCCATTGGTGGAAAACATTTTGAGGGAAAAAATCTGTTGATCCGTTCAGAGCCGACCTTGGGGAAAATTGTGGCGTATGCAAACTTTATATTCGGTGCCCCTGACCCTAAAAAATTGACAAGGATTACTATTTGCAATCTCGATTTTGGCGCCCTTTCGGGTGGGCTTTCTGTGCGGGGGCACACGTCGCTCACCCAAAGGGACTACTCTGGATCAGTTCATGAGTCTAGTGAAAGGCGACCTTCCAGCGTTCATCGCAAGTACAAACACACCGTGTTTTTGTCTTTGAATAAATATATATTGTTTTCATTTTGTGTTAATCATTGT